CTAGCATACAACTCTCCTACTTAAAACTCACCAGTGGCTTCTTTCTGCTCTCAGGATAAAGATCAAAGTGCCTACCATGGCCTACAAAGCACTGTCCATCTGCCACTATCTTCATTTAAAAAAAAAAAAAAAAGATAAATCACTTTTTGTTTAAATCTCTTTAATGACTCTTTGGTTGTTCTCAATAAAATTAAAACTTTTGCCCTAGCTGGTTTGGCTCAGTGGATAGAGCGTCGGCCTGGGGACAGAAGGATCCTGGGTTTGATTCTGGTCAAGGGCACATGCCTGGGTTATGGGCTCGATCCCCAGTAGGGAGCATACAGGAGGCAGCCAATCAGTGATTCTCTCTTATTGATATTTCTATCTCTCTCCCCTTCTTCCTTCCTCTCAATAAAAATATATTTATAAAAACAACAAAACTCTCACTGTGGGCGACAAGGCCCTGGATGATCTAATTCTTGTATACCTCTCTAGACTCATCTCGCCATCTGCCCTCTTGCTCACTCCATCTGCCCTCTATGGCCACAGTTTCCTTCCAGTACGGAAGTCACCACGCTTTCTATTATACCACAGGGGCTTTGCACTAGCTGTCTCCTCCACCTGCCGTGCTTTCCTGGAAGCTCTTTGAATGTCTGCTGATTCTCCTTCTGCATGCGTTAAGACAAACATCACTTTTTCAGAACATTCTTTCATCCATTTCATCCCAACACAAGTTCCCTTTATTACCTTGCTTCTCTCTTTCCTGGTGCTTATTACAATCTGATCTTATTTTTATGTCCATTTGTTACAGAAGACCGGAAAAAACCCAAGCCATGCTTAGAGGAAGGGAGTTATATTTTATTAAGGGCAGGGTCAGAGAAAAAAATGTGCCTTTCAAATTCTGGGCAACCTCACATGGAGAAAACCTTTTCTTTTCTTTTTAAATATATTTTATTGATTTTTCAGAGAGAGGAAGGGAGAGGGATAGAGAATTAGAAACATCCATGAAAAAGAAACATCGATCAGCTGCCTCCTGCACACCCCACACTGAGGATGTGTCTGTAATCAAGGTACATGCCCTTAACCGGAATCAAACTTGAGAACCTTCAGTCCACAGGCTGATGCTCTATCCACTGAGCCAAACCAGTTAGGGCGAAACCTTTTCTATTTATACTTTTCCTAGCTCTTTTGTCTCCCAAATTTGGAATGAGACTTCCGGGCCTTCCAGGAAAGAAGGCCTACGTGGGAAGGGACCATGAGACCATATCTCAAGGCCTGGCCTGGTGCCAGCACTGACAACTCTGTCTGGGGCGTAGTCCACAGCCTCTCTGGAATGGGAGTAGTCTTATTTTCCTTATTATTTAAGCAAGCAAGCGTTTACAGAAGCCAAAATAGCAGGGTTAAAATTTCAAACAGCAGTTTTTATATAAGATGGAGGCTTCACATTCATTGTCATTGGTCTCCACTGAGAATGTAAGCCCTAATTTGTTCACCACTCTATCTTCAGAGCCTAGCCGGTGCATGACACATAGTAGGTCCATTATAAATATTTGTTCAATAAATGGCTAATCAAGATCACAAAGCCAGTCAATGATATTGAAAGATGTTTCCCCTTTCTTCCAGCAGGTGGAGCCAAAGCTACATCTGGTCCTTGGCAGGGACTTGGAAGGGGGGCTGTGGATTTGCTGAGGACAGAGTCTAAAGGGGAGAGGCAGGATTTTTTAATTTAATTTTATTTTTTGGTAGTAATGCTGGGTCCAAGTGGAAAGAAAGTCAGGATGGCACTTCTCCTCAAGGATGGGTAGATATGAGCTTCCCAAAAGGGACGTGGAATAGCCAGTGATCCAAGGAGGTTCTGGGACCTCAGACTGCTTTCCCACTTCTCCCACCTGTACCACACCCAACCCTCCACTGAGGGTCTTTGAAAAGGAGAACAAATTTGAGGGGGGGGGGAGGGGAAAAAAAAGAACGATTTTCTGTGAGCTTGGAACTGGAGAGAAACAAGGGTTTTCATTTCCAAATCCCAAGTGTACAGTTGGGGGAAGCCAAGAGAGGAACATCATGGTGGGTGACTAGGAACTGGGCCCGGCTCACAAACCCCTCTTGTCATAGCTCATGTTTCTGTAGCTCCATAAGTCCCAACCCACTTTGCCTGGCCCTGGACTCAGGTGGGAGGCCACATTGAAGTGAGCATGGACATTCCAGAACTGCCCCTAGGGTGGGGGGTCAGAAATGACTTTAAAGAAGCATGCTGAAACCAAGACACATTGGGCCAATGTCTGCCGGAGGGGCCAGAGGCCAGAGGCATATTCCATGGCTGGTCAGATGGCCTTCAAAAAGGGTTTACATCTATATCTGGGGCTGGGGAGGCTGGAGGGGTCCTCAAACTTCCTCCTACAGGCAACAGGAACTCACAGGAGAGTTTCTAAACAGGAGAGCTACTTGGTTATCTTGGGTAGTTTGTAGGAGGAATGTGAGATCAGATCAAAGACAGATCAGTGAGAATGCTGGTTTTAATCTTCTGATAAATAATTGTAGGGATGGGAAAGAAGAGAAGATAACATCTAATAATTGTAGGCATGGGAAAGAAGCAAGCATGAGTAGCTTTAGGTAATTAAAAACAACTTAAAACAACCACACAGGACTTATGAAAGGATTAAAAAACATATGCATAGTGCATGGATACAGACAATAATGTGGTGAGATCCAAGGGGTGGGTGGGGGGCAGGGTCTGGGTAGAGGTGGGCAAAAGGTGGGGGGTGGGGGAAGACAGGGAACATATGCAATAGTATCAACAATAAAAATTTTACATTTTAAAAAACAGAAATAAAAAAAAACAGGACTTGGTGGTTATCATTCACTAATTGAACTGATCTTTATTAAGTGCCTGTTAGTATCACTTTATACATTTATAAGAGGCTTGCCAGAACTTCATTAGCAAAAAATGGAGGTCTACCCCCACGTCTAAGTAGTCGTGAGTGCTTCTCTTCTCTGGGCCTCGGTTATCAATCTATAAAATAAAGAGGTTGGCCTGGCAGCTCCTGATCCTAACAGCTTTACTTTTCTGACTTTCGGAGCTTGGCTTAAGTGTATAAAACCCAGTGATGTGCCAGGACAGGCTCCTGCCTATTTGCAAGAGCTAACTTAAATTTTCGGGAATTTTGCAATAGAGTAGATCTAGAAACTGGTTATAGTGGGAGTATTTACACCATGGAAATAGGCAAATACTACACACTAGGCCTTTGAGCTCCCATCCTCTGCCACTGTGCTCCCTCCGGAGGGGGGTTTTACCTGCACACCAGTGAGACCCCTCTTCGACTGACACACATATTCCCAGTCAGGTACATTCTTACTTTCTAACAATTGTGAAGAATCACATGGACCATCACACAGAACCTGCCCCAGCACAGCCAGGCCCACATACTCAGGCCTACACAGCATGCAAAACACCCAGTGTGGTCTGGGCAGAGCTACTATCTGACAGTAGATCAGACAAAGGCGAGCAGAGGTTGGTGGTGAACGTGTTGGAGTCTCACAGACCTAAGATGGAATTCCAGTTAGGTCCTCTTGGCTATGTGATGTTAGCCAAGTCCCTCTCAACACTGGAGCTCAGTTTCCTCGTCTTTCCTTCCACCCCCCTTTGATTTTCTGTTTTTTAGTAAGTGGAAGGGAAGAGAGAAACATCGATGTAAGAGAGACACATGGATAAGTTGCCTCCTACACCCCCCCCCCCAACAGGGGCAGAGAATCAAACCTGCAGCCCCTTGGTGTGCAGGCCAACACTCTAACCACTGAGAAACACCTGCTAGGGCTCCTCATCTTTTAAGTGGGTGCAAGTCCAGCCCTGGCTGGTGTGACTGTGTTGGTAGTTGTATCCCTGATCAGGGCATGTGTGGGAAGCAACTGATTGATGTTTCTCTGTCTCCCTCTCCCTTCCTCTCTCTAACATAAATGAGGACAAATACTGAGGTAGCAGTATGGTTTCTAGGATTGAGAACACCCACAAAGTGAATGTAAAGACTCCACACCATGCCTGGCCACCGAGGACTTATGAACCAGGTCACAGTTCAATTCCCCATCAGGGCGCATTCACCAATTGTGGGCTTAGTGTGGGGCATACAGAAGGCAGCTTATCAATGATTCCCTCTCATCATTGTGGCTTCTCTCTGTCACTCTCCCTTACTCTGAAATAAATTTTTTTTTAAATATTTAATTTTTAAAATATATATCTTTTAATGATTTTTTACAGAGCAGAAGAGAGAGGGATAGAGAGTTAGAAACATCGATGAGAGAGACATCGATCAGTTGCCTCCTGCACACCTCCCACTGGGGATGTGCCCGCAACCAAGGCACATGCCCTTGACCAGAATCGAACCTGGGACCCTTCAGTCCACAGGCCGATGCTCCATCCACTGAGCCAAACTGGTTTTTTGCTAAATATTTAAAATAACTCTCCACAGACTGCCTGGTGCAGACAGGTGCTTAATAAATATTAGCTAATGCTGTTATCACACCTCCAGACTCATTCTCCCTACCCACGGTCCATTTGGCTCAGTGCTCCCTTCTCGCTATCTGAATTTTGGCACAGAAGGCTTCAGTGGTGAAGGACAAAGACGGAAACATAGTGCTCCATTTTTCAGCTTTTATGAAAATTAATAACATTAATAGCTCACAGACATATACATACACACACATTGCTATATACACAGTCATTAAGTTATTAATTAGTGTCCGTATAAAATGTTTCTACATTAGTGTCCTGGGCTAGTGCCCATCAGTCCTTGGCATATTCACAGTAGCAGCCCCAGGGCTCAGCCCCACGGGCGGGGAGAGGAGAGGCAGGTGGCTGTATGAATAGACTGCCCACGGTGGGCGTTGGAGGTGTCCTGGGCCACATACTCTCACGTCTTTGGCTCCCTTCCTGGCACCTGGAGACCAGCTGTTGAGTGAGTGGCCCAGATTCCTTGTGTGACCTGGCGACTCAGGCCTTGTGCTTGATGACTGCAGGCAAACAGCGGACCCTAGAGGATGCTAGCCAACTCTGTAGAGTCTGTATCAGAGCAGCCTGAGCTGCTAGCCTCTTCCCTGCAAGAGCCGGAGAAGACAGGTTAGAAGAACCATCCTTACCCCTTCCCAGCCCCCATCTGCCTCCTTCCTTTCATAATCTTTGGCCCTGCAATCTTAGCTAGCTGTCGGGCAAGTCTAAAACACTCCCTGTCTCCTGCCTTAGTTAAATGTCATTCTGTGCACCAAAAGGTCGCCAGTTCAATTCCTGGTCAGGGCACATACCTCGGTTTCTGGATTGTAGGCTCCATGGTCAGGGCACTTATGGAAGGCAACTGATCTATGTTTCTCATCACGTCTCTCTCTCTCTCCTTTTCCTTTTCTTCCCCCACCCCCTTTCTCTCTCCAATCATATTCTCAAGTAAGGATTTTAAAATAAATTAAAAAAAAAAATTAAGTACTCCCTCTCAGCCCAGAAACTGCTGGTTGGTCTAATCACTGTTCTCGCTACTCACAAGACATTACAAGCCCAAGGAGCATGCTCTGACCTAGGCTGGCTGATGGGCTGGCGTGACTCACTCCACCCTGCCCTCTGGTCTCCCAAAAGGCAGGCTCAGGCCACACCTGAGGTCCTACATGCCAGGAATGCCATGAAAAGTACATGGTGTGGAGTCAGAACTCCAGGCCTCAAACCAGGCTCTGCCCTTTTATCAGCTGGCCATTCTTCCTGGTTAAGCCTGAGTTTCTTCATCTGCAGAGTGGGAATCATAGCACTTTGTGACACCTAGGGTTGTTGGAGGACTACAGGTCATGAGTGCACATTCACTAAAACAAACTCCAGAGGGCAGGGATTTTAAAAGAATATAGTATAGCCGAAACCGGTTTGGCTCAATGGATAGAGCGTCGGCTTGGGGACTGAAGGGACCCGGGTTCGATTCCGGTCAAGGACATGTACCTTGGTTGCGGACATATCCCCAGTAGAGGGTGTGCAAGAGGCAGATGACCGATGACTCTCTCTCATTGATGTTTCTAACTCTCTATCTCTCTCTCTTCCTCTATGTACAAAATCAATAAAATATAAAATATAAAAATTAAAAAAAGAATATAGTATATTTTTATTGATTTCAGAGAGGGACAGAGAGATCGAACCCATAACCTGGGCATGCCCTGACCAGGAATCAAACCGTGACCTCTGGTTCATAAGTCAACACTCAACCATTGAGCCACACTGGCTGGGCGAGGGCAGGGATTTTTGTTTCATTCACTAGAGCAATGCCTACCATACCGTAAGCATTTGTTGAATGAATAAATAAGTGTGAAACCACTTGGCATGCAACTCTATGTTTAAAAAATATCAGCTGGAGCTCCTATAAATGGCAGAGAAGGGGTGGAGGAGGAGCTGTCAAGGGAAGGGGTGTGGGAGGAAGTCTGGACATGGCCACAGGAGGCATGAACTGAGGACTTAGTCTGGATGGTGCCCCTCCTCCACCTCCCCGTCCCCTTCCTCTCTCACCTCAGAGCCTGGAGGGCCTTCTTGTTCTGCCGCCGCTTCTCCTCATCAATGGGGTACAGCTCAAAGAGCAGCAGGCCTAGCAGGATGAGGACGATGGGAGCCATTGTCACCAGCATCTTCAATGTAAACTTGACAGGTGCTGGCTGGGAGCAGACACGCGTCTGGTACCCGGCAAAGCTGTGGGACCCGGTGGGAAGGCGAGTGGTGAGGACGGGATGCCGGGGCCTGTGCCTGTCCAGCACTGTCCCAGGCCCCCACCCTACTCACTCAAGACTGAGGGTAGAGATGCCCAGGGAGACCCCGGAGGCGAACTTGGTGAAGAAGACATAGAAGGAGAAGAAGATGGGCTCAGTTCCGTGGGAATGGGGCTGCTTCAAGTGGAAGTCGTCAATGACATCGGGCAGCATGGACCTGTACAGAGTGGTGACGGCCATGAGGACCCACCCACCTAGCAACCCCAGGGCCCTACTAGCCCATCCTCTCTGAGAGGAGGTACCTCTCTGAGAGGAGGTGGCCCTCTGGGAGTTTGCAGCCCCATGGGCACAGCTCAGTGAGGAGATGGCAACTTCATGTGATTAGGAAGGCCCTGTCCTTCCTGTGGTGAGCTAGCCCCACCAGGTGCTCCACTGGCCAAGGAGCAAGCAGACTAGACGTAAGCCCCATTTCTCAGTCTGATTAGGTTTTCTTTTCTTTCTTTTTTTCCTAAATCCTCACCGGAGGATAATTTTACCATTGATTTTTTTTGGGGGGATGGGGGGAGAGGAGGCAGGGGGTGGGGGAAGATGCGGAAGAGGAGACGTGGGGAGACAAACATCGATGGGCGAGACACATCAATTGGTGGCCTCCCACATGTGCCCTGATCAGGGTAGGGATCAAACCTGCAACCCAGGTGTATGCCCTTGACCTGGAATCGAACCCCATACCCTTTGGTGGGCAGGCCAATGCTCTGAACCACCCAGCAATACCAGTTTACAACCTGTATAACTGTATGGGAAGACCTGCCCCCCACCCGCCACCTGGACCCACAGACTGGCCTTCGAGAAGAGACGCCCTCACAGAATTCTCCCAAAGGAACTTTAGAGGTGGGGGCGGGACCTGGGAAACAGCCAGGTGGGCCTACATACTTACCAGGGTAGTAAGAAGGCAGCAGCTACACTGATGCCGGCTGCCACAGCCACCACATACGTGACAATCAGGTTACTCTCTATGAGGGCCACCAGGATGAGAAATGGCACCGCCGACTAGGGCAGGGGGTACAGGAAGAGGAGTCAGCGGGGAGGCTCCCGCCAACCACCACCGGCGCAGGCACGTCCCCCCTCAGTCCCACTCACTGAGATCCCAATGTACACGGCCGTCTTCTTGCCAAACCGGGTTAGGAACCACTGCCAGAAGGGAATGGTGAATGTGGCCGAGAGCTGTAGATGTAAAAGGGGTGAGGGAAGTGGGTTAGAGCTATGGAACCCCTCTGCCCTTCCCAGGACCCCAAAGTACTCCCAGCCCTGCCTGAGATCAGGCAGATGACTTCATCTGAGCAGGGAGGAGGTTGACAGGCCCCCTTGCTGGCTCCCAAAGGGGCTGAGAATAGGTTTCAACCTCCTCGCCTGCCTTTTCTGGGCACACTGAGCCAAAGTCCACAGCTCCCAGCCTCTATCTCTTTGCTCTTGTTTGGACATTTAACTCCCAGCAAGGAGTTTTGTACTACATAAAAAAAGATGGCCAGTGTTGTCCCATTTAACTCCAAACTCTTTCTTCCCCCATCCCATGTTATTGAGATATAATTGACATGCAACATTGTATTAGTAGTTTAAGGGTACAACATAATGATTTCATGCATGCACCCAAACTGTTTCACGTTCCTATCTAAGCAATTATAGGTCAGACCCAACCAAATTATTTTGAGAACCCTCCCTCACCCCTTTAAGACCTTGGGAACAGCCTCAGAAATATCCTCTCACTCTCCAAAGAACCACCTTGTGATCTATGCCACGTCAGCCCAGGCTGCCTACCCACCCTCGGGGCCCCACACTCACCATGATGGCCAGGAGCAGATTCTGGAATTCGTTTCGGAAGCCCAAGGTGTAGGTGCAAAACAAGGCGAAGTTCCCCTCCACCAGCTGGGAGACAGGGCAAGGGAGCGGGGAAGCACAAGGAATCACGTGATATTGGGACTGGGCCTCTCCAAGACATTCCCTATGCTCCAGGGATCTCTGCGTGCCCCACCCCCCACTCCACCGTCTCTCAGGCTTGTCACACCCCGAGGCCTCTGCTCACCTCCCCCCGCCCCCTAGGCTGAGCGTGTCAGACTCCCCACTCACCATGAAAGCCAGGGAGGTGAAGAGGAAGCCAGCAATAAGCTTAATATATGGGCCATGGCTCATGACCAGTCGGAGGCCCCGAAAGAAGGGCATTGACTCAGCCTGCTGAGCCTCGTAGGGTTCTGGGGATCAGAGGGAACAGTAAGGAAAGAGAGCAGAGGCTCCCCCGAAAGCCCGAGACCCAGGCAGAGGGACAAAGCCTTACCCCGCCCCCTCACGGCTTCTCACCTCTCTGCTCCCTCACGCCGAGGACCAGGATGATAGCGCAGAAGACATAGATGGAGGCTATGGCCCCTGCCGCCAGCAGGTATGCATTTTTCTATAAAGGGGGATGAAGCCACAAAGACAGTCAGTCCGGCCTCATCTCCACTCAGAAGCTTCACTCGGTGACTTTGGACCAGCCCTTCTACTCTGGGGCCTCACTGACTTCATCTGTGAAATGGGCCTATTGCTGTTTCCCACGGCTGTTCTACTGGGAAAGGCCAGCAGAACAAAATCTGAAGAAGCCCGGCCATGGAGGCTGAGAACCCACAGTCAACTCTCTCCCCAAATGTAGTTTCTGCAACTCACTAACTCTTCCACCCTGGGCAAATGATTTAGCCTCTCGATGCTTCAGTTTCCTTATCTATAATACAAAGTGGCTATATTAATAGTTTGTATATCAAATGCCCAATAGTTAGCAACACTAGCTATTACTATTTTGAGGATGATTGCAAACTGCCCCATTGCTCCTCATCTCCCCAAACCCCTGCCCTGCCAGGGGCCTCACCGTTTCTCTGAGTGAGGTGGCGCTGTGTGTAAGATTGGCATCTTCCGTGGCCACTGCTAAGTCTTTGGGGTCCTCAAGACAAGGCGTGTTTGCTTGGCCTACGATTTGCCCTTGGATCGCTGTGCCCAGCACTGTGCCCAGGACCTCCACAGTCATCCCTGAGCAGTGAAAAGAAGGTTCTTTGGAGGTGACCATGGTTGTGGGCCCCGAGGGAGGAAGTTCAGATGAGTAGAAGCCGAATTCTAGCCCCAGATCGTGGTAGCAGCTCCAGGTAGGATGGCCACAGGGTGGGGGTGGGGGTGGGGCAGGTGGTACACTGGCTAAACTCGTGTCCTTGTTCTGGGTGACCTCTGCGTAGTCTCTGCCTCTGGTCTAGATTAAAGTCTGGCCTCACCAGAGCTATCAGGGGATTGAGTAATTGTTAAGACGGTTTCATATCCATTCCCAGCAAGGGAAGGAATGTGGCAGAGGGTCAAGGGTCAAGGAACAGGGGATCCAGGGTTCCTGGTAGGTGGGACAGGGGATTAGGGAGAGACTTACGGTAAGCAGTGGCCGAATCCCGCTCACTCTGTTCTGTGCTGATGAACATGGTGAGAGCTGAGTAGGGAACGTGGAAACACTGGCATGGAAGAGAGGCCCTCGGCCAGTCAGACGATGGACAGACAGATGTGGCTTTGGGTACCAACCCAGGGACTGCCCTCACATCCGGGGAGGTGCCCACACTCACCGTGACTAGTGTCTCAAAGAGGCAATAGAAAAGCAGGTGCCATAGGACCTGGCCCTGGGAGAAGTCAGGCACGAACCATATGAGGAAGTAGGCAATGATGGCCAGGGGCGTGGAGAAGATGATCCTGCGGGAGGGGAGGGTATCTATTATACACATAGAATATGTATATTATCCAGCCTTAAGAAGGAGTGAAATTCTGACACATGCTACAGCACAGAGGAACCTTGAAGACATTATGTTAACTGAAATAAGCCAGACACAAAGGACAGATGCTGTGTATTCTACTTACATGACATAACTAGAGTAGTTAAATTCACAGAGACAAAAAGAATGGTAGTTGCCAGGGCTTAGGGAGAGGAATAGGGAGTTAATGGTATAGAGTTTCAGCTTAGATGGATGGTAATAAGTCACACAACAATAAGAGTTATACTCAGTGCCACTAAATTGCACACTTAAAAATCGTTACACCCTAGCCAGTTTTCTCAGTGGCTAGAGCATCGGCCCACAGACTAAAGGGTTGAGGGTTCGCTTCTGCTCAAGGGCACGCACCTTGGTTGCAGGTTCCAGCCCGGAGGCCCCAGTCAGGGTGTGTGAGGGAAGCAACCAATTGATGTCTCTTTCTCACATTAATGTTTCTTTTCTTTCTCTCTGTCTCTCCCACTCCTTCCACTCTCTCTAAAAATCAGTGGAGAAAAAAAACTTAAACATAAATAAATGGGGAGAAAATGAGGATTAACAACAACAAAGTTAAAATGGTTAATTGCGGTACATATATATTTTACCACAAAAAAGTCATATAAACATATTAAAGGTTGATTAAGCACTAGCTGGTTTGACTCAGTGGATAGAGCGTTGGCCTTGGGACTGAAGGGTCCTGGTCAAGGTTGCAGGCTCCTCCCTGGCCTGGGCCCTGATTGGGGCTCGTGTGGGAGGCAACCAATCCATGTGTTTCTCTCACATCGATGTTTCTCTCTGTCTTTCCCTCTCTGTTCCACTCTCCCTGAAAATCAATGGAAAAATATCCTTTGGTAGGGATTTTACAAAAGGATAAAAATAGATTGTGATTCACTGCTAGGGGGTTAAGGAAATAAAGCAGGCTAAATGGGAATTAGGTGTAGGGGGTGCAAGTCCCAATTAGTAGACAAGGTAGCTTTCTTTGAGGAGGTGACATCTGTACCAAGACTTGAATGAGAGGAGGGAGTTGGCTTTGCAGATGTCTAAGGCAAGAGTGCCAGGGGAGCAGTTAGTGCAAACATCCTCCGGCGGGAATTGTGCCAGGCAGGTGTGAGGAATAGCAGGGAGGTCAGGGAGGCCGGAGTGGAGTGTGCATGGACCATGCGATTAGGAGGCAAGATTAGGGAGGAAATGGGACACCAGGACGCCAGGTAAGGACCTTGGTTCTATATCTTAGGGTTGAAGGTTGAAGTCGTTTTGAGACTGAGATAAATTGGCATTACAATGTGGACTAGAGCTTGGGATGCAGTTAAGTGTTTGCTGTGATTATCACATCAGGAAAACGAAAAGGGAAGAGCATGGCCAGGGAGCTGTGGAGAGCCCTGGGCTGGGAGTCAGGCCTCAGGTCCAGCCGTGCTGTGTCTCAGCCTCCCCCTGCGGCCCTGCTGACACCCTGCCTCTCAGGGGGAAGCCTTGGGAACCCCCGGAAACTACCTGCCAGTCTTCCTGGCCTGAAAGGGGGTTTAAATGGTAGCTGAGGGCAGATCCGGTCTAAAGCCTGCGAGGAGAATGGCTCACAGACTCAGAAAGGCCCAGCCCCTTCCTCGACTGACAGAAGGGATGTCAGGTCCCAGGTGCTAACTGCGGCATGGTCGCATGGACGGGGAGGTCACCTATACTCCAAGGCAGTCCCTCCAGCCCATGGGTGGTCCAGGGTACCCTCAGACAAGGGTGGCAGTGCCACTCGGACGTATCGCCCACACAGGTGAGGACATGCGCTAACACAGAAACCAGCCTGCAGGGCCTCGGCAGCCTCACCAGGCTGCTGCCACACCTGCCGGGCCTCCCCTGCTCTCCCGCCCTGCCCTCCCTCACCCCTCCCAGGTCCACGTGTCTTCTCTGGAACAAGGGCGTCAGCTTTCGTCAAACACTCCATCCGCCCCTGCAGGCAGCCGAGGAGGAACTGAATGTGACTGGGAGTAACCCGGGCTGGCCGGCTGCCCATTGGGCGAGAGGGGCGGCCTCCCATTGGCCGGGCCTCATGAGGCGATGTGCAGGGGCCCCGCCCCCGCCGCCTCTGCTCCGGGGAGGCGGGCACGGAGCCTCATGGACCATGGCGTGTGGCTCCTGCCTGCAGGGAGCCCTGAGCCGGCTGCCCAGGTAAGGCAGGCTGCCCTACCCCCTGGCCCTGCAGGCTGATCAAAGGCCCCAGCCTGGGCCTGGGCCAGGGACTGGCAGCATTGTGATGGGAGGGGGGCTCGTGGGAAAGGAAGCTGCGGGGGAGAGGCGGGGGCTGTGGGAAGAGCTTTGAAGGCTCAAGGCCGGAGACCAGGTATGGGCGCCCCAGGGGCAGGAAGGCGCCCACTGGAGCATGGATGGGCGAGAGATGAAAGGAAATGTCCCCCCCAGTCCACCAGCAGCAGCAGCAGCAGGATGTCCTGGGAGGGAACCAAAGCCCCAGCCTGTTCGCCCGCCCGTCCCATGTGTCTCCCTTTGCTGTCTGGGCTGTAGCACCCCTCCCGCCTTGCCAGATAGCCCGAGGCCGAGTACTGTAGGTTCTGTACCGAGGGGCCACAGGTTATGGGTCTTACAGCCCATTCTCAGTCTTGCCCCACTAGGAGTCATTCTGAAAGATTGCCCAATTAGATACCATGTGCCGGGCACTGTTCTGAGTACTTTGCTTATAAATAAAACTAAGAAAAACATTTAAAATGCTCACAACAACCCTCTGGGATAGGCATATTATTGAACCCATTTTACAGGTGAAGAAACTTAAGGCTCAGAGAGGTTAAGTGACTTGTCTCAGGTTGCACAGCCGTAAGTGGTGAAGCTGGAATTCCAGAGGAGTCAGGCTTTGCTCCAGAGTATACCCTGTCAACCACTATGCAATACTATCTGTCCCACTATGGGAAGTGACTGAGTGGGGAAAATTAGAATTCCAGTTTCATTGAAAGGAATGGAACTTGGGAAGCAATAGGGTTTGGGCGGGCAGGGGGAAGTTGCTCAATCTAACAATTTGGCCAGCCTGGAGATGAGCTGGCATGGCACCCAGGGCCCATGCCTGGGGTAGCTGACCTCAGCTGGCATTTCGACACTCAGGTTTTTGCATCATTCCTTCTCCTCTCCCCTCAGCTTGTGACAAAGCACATGGAAAAAGTGAAGGAGAGCAGACGTGCCGAAGCCCTATCCTGCGATTTAAAGAAACCTCTTCTACTCACCAGGGCATAAGCCGGCCCAGCCGGGTCCAGGAGGATTTGCTAATGCAGAAGCCCACCAGGGGGTCTGTGAAGGCATCCCAAGCTCGGCCCACGAAGAGGATGATAGAGGCAGAGAACGGGTCCACCTGGAATGGGGAACGAGCAAAACGTGACCCCTTCATCCTTCTTCCCACCTCAGCTTTCACTGGTGCCAAAAGCAGGGGCGCCCTCCGTCCTCAGCCAGGCCCGTGGCAGACTGTGCTGCTCTCAGGCCTTCAGCACCCTCACTTGCCTTGTTAATAATGACAGGAACAATTCTGATACCTATAGCACTGGGTGCCTCCTTAGAAACTTTCCCAGATCTGCTCCCGTCCATCCTCCCCTTCGCTGCCCTTGCAAACACTCCCATCAATGAGAATGAATCCAGAATCATTTCCTTGTCTCCCTTTCACATCCCTGATCCCCTGCCACCTGATACCAGAGTCAGCATTTGCTGGCTAGGACCACGGTAGATCTCAGTTTCCCCAAGTATATAATGGGAGCTACGATCCCTACCTTATGGTTCAAGCTCTGTCTTGGACGTGGAAAAAAGGAACCTATAGATGCTTTTTAAAAGTGGCCTATTACTACCCATTCAAGCTATTCCCGCCCCCAAATCTTTTCTGCCTGAATAGACAGCTTCTATGGTCTCTCCCTCACCCATCAAGTCCCTACTATTGTGCCCCGGCCGGTGTGGCTCAGCTGGTTGAGTGGTAATCCCATGCACCGGGAAGTTGCCGGTTCAATTCCCAGTCAGGACACATGCCCAGATTGAGGGCTGGATCTTGTGCAGGAGGCAACTGACTAATGTTACACTCTTACGTTGATGTTTCTCTTTCTCTCTCTTCCTTCCTCTCTCTCTCTAAAGTCAATAAAAACATATTTAAAAAGAAAAGACCCTACTATTGCTATTGCTCCAGGAAGCTGGGGAACTTCTGGCCTCTCCCCCATAGCAGTCTCTCCCTAGCAGACTTCCAGCTTTAATATACAATAGTGTTACAGTTTAGCTGCCTGCAGGCTCCTCATATTTGCACCCCACTCAGGACCCAACCCATGGAAGTTGCTTGAAAACTAGCTGTTGAATGCTGCCATTTGTCTTTCCTGGGGCTCAGTGTTCCCCAAAATATAAATGCATACAATTAAGATGCCCTGCTTGCAAAGTCAGATACTACATAAAAAAGGTGGCCGGCGTGGGAGCCCTGAGACCCGTGGCTGTGCAGCCTCCCACTCTCTCAGACAAGATGAATTCTCAGGATGCCAGGCTTCTGGCTAAAGCTTCTTGAAGTACGGAGGAACCCAGCTTCACCTTAAATACCCTCCCAAGCAAAGTCCCCATGTGCCGGGTTCAGCCCAACCCCCCCGCATGCCTCTGCTCCTCAGGTGAAAATGAGATGCACCTCATCCACATGCCTGGCAATATCTACCGGCCCCACGGCCAAGCCAGCTGACTGCGTGCCGTCCAGCTGGGGACATGGTGTGCCAGTCTCTTCTAAGAACAGCGTCACCAGCAGGCTCCCTTCTCCCTCCTACCCCCGCCTACCCTTCCAGGCTCTGTTGCTCTTGCCAGACAAGGAGGAGTTGCCTGACTTTGCCAGCCATGACTCCTGGGGCATATAGACTCCCGTTCTGGATGCTTCCCAAAGCCGTATTTCTCATCCAGTGTGACTCTGACAGGCGGCAAAGCAGGGATTCCCAGCCCCATTCCACAGACGGGGGAAACCTTGGGAGCTGCGGGAACCCTGGCGTGCTCAGTCCACTCACCTGAGCCACATCCAGCAGGTAGATCTGGAGAAAGAACCCCAGGGCGCAGCCCGTCATCTGGTAGGGGGCCCCCCCAACTGCATAGCAAAGCTTGTTGCAGATGGACAACTGCTGCTTCTTCTTTGGTTCCTTCTGGGAGAAGAAAAAGTATAAAAGGAGACCCGAGATCCTAGCCCCCATTCTAGAAAATTCCAGACAATTCCACCAGGAGGAACAAATCTGTCTTGCCCTATCCCCACCCAGCTAGATAGCTCTTCCCACAAGAAAAGAAAGGTATTCTCTATTCTTAGGAACCTGGAAAAGGGGGATCCACACTGAAGAAGTTTCCCTTAAACCACCCCAACCTACCCCACACCCAGATCTTTATCAGCCCACCAACCTTAAAAAACTCCCTCCCAGAGCCTCAGACATGCACCTTTCCAGGCTGGAAGAGGAACATGCACCAGCAGCGGACCTGTCCCCACCCAGCACTAACTGCCACAACCTGAAAATCCTCTTGCTGCCAAAGCCCAGCCCCAGCTCCTGCCCTGGTTCAGAGACCAGGACCCACCTGCCTCCTGGTGAGGGCTCTAGAGAGCGGCAGGGGCCCAGCCCAGCTGGCTGCAGGCACAGCTGTTCCCTCCATCTGTCCCAGAGCATCCCTGGCCCCTGTGGGCAGCCAGAGCTTCAGGCAAACCCAGGAGCTGCCCTGCCCTTCCTCAGCTCCTAGGGGACCTTGGAGAGGGGAGGAAAAGCCTCTGGGTGCAGGGCTGGGTTCTCTCTGGGTGGGGCACGAGGGAGGTTGAGGTTGGCCAGGGAAAAGTAGAGATTACTCATATATGGCAGCAGCTTTAATTGCTTGCCCGGGCTCCTCTCACGGATCAGTTAAGACTAAAAGTAAAAGGCAATCACCTCCCACGCAGAAAATCTATAACCTGGGAACCCTCCTGGGGGCTACCTGAGTTCATTCTGTCCTTCATTATGCCCAGAGAGCTGGGGACGGTGCACAAAGCACAGGCGTGAGCCCCTACGTCCTCACACAAAACGCTTCAAGAATGCGGCTCCTTTAAGAGCGGAGTCCCGTTCTTATGAATGAACTTGAGCGGGGCCCTCCCGGAGTTGAGGCGAAAACGTAGGCATGTGGCGGTGGGGGGTTAGGGGAGTGAGAGATGGGGAACCAGGAGGATTTCTGGGGTCTCCCTGCCTTCTAGAATCTTTTTGGCTTCTAAGCCGCAAGTCACAGAAGAACGAGAAAGCAGCCAGGCAGAGCCCGGCGCCTCGTGGAGCTGCCGGCCGGCGCGCTCCCTCCACAGAGATGCGGAGGGAGGGAGGGAGGGCGAGCCAAAGGGGTGCAGGGGCTTACAGACGACTTCAACACCCCCGGCCCCCGGGGCACCCCCAGGCTCCCTCCTGCCCCTGATGCCGCCGGTCCCCGGGGAGCCCAAGGCATCCCAGAACCAGGCTTTGCCTCCGATCCCCCATCAGCCTGCGCACGCGCGCCCGCGCCACACACACACACACACACACACACACACACACACACACACACCCCGCCCCTTGCCCTCCACCCAGATGCCAGGTTCTCACCTTCTCCTGGGCCTGGCGCTCCCCCGCTTGGAGGATGCTTGGAGGCAGCAGCCCCGTGGCGGAGCCGCTCTCGGCGCCCTCTCCTTTGGCCATGACCCGCGGGCCACGCCGCCTGGGGTCGGGACGCCGGGATGCTCCTCTGCCCCGCCGGCCGCGGCTCCGTCCGGGATCCGGGAGGAACCGCCGCCGCCGCTGCCGCCACAGCCGCCGCGCAGAAGTGAGCCGGCCGGCGGGCGGCGGACGCGAGTGCTCACTCCCTTACACTCCCCCTCGCACCTCTTAAAGGTTCACCCCGCCCCCTCGGGCCCGGCCAATCCCGGGGCCCTGCTGCCCCGCCTCCAGCCAATCCGCTCGCCCGCCGGTCCCCCCCCCCACTCCCCCGCCTTCCCGCCCCGCCGGGAGGCGCTCATTTTTTTGAGCCGCGTTCTGGAGCCCGAACCTCACGAACCGGTGCAGGCGGGCAGAGCCACCTGACACTCACCGGGAAACTGAAGTCCCAGGTTGGTGTGACCTGGCCGTGGTCTCCCAGAATAAGGTTTCCATGACCCCCCCAAGTCTGAGAAAGGGAGGGACTCAGAAGTCTATTCCCCCCCCCCCCCAACCCTCTTTTAAAATCTAGAATCACCTGAGTCTCTCTCCTCCAAACCTGGAGGATGTAGCACTGGCATTTCCTGACGCGATGCCCCTTTCATTCCCCATTTCCTCTTCCTGCCATGGGCATCTTTGAGGCCCTCAGAGATGGGGGGGGGGGGGGGGGGAGGAGATGCCTGCCGTCACGGAACTCACAAGTTGTGGAGGGAAGCCTGGGCCACAGGTGCTGCTACACTGCTACGAGTTGATCATAAGAGCAGCCTTTTCTGGCGAGCTTCCTAGATGCTCACCATGACCTCATTCAGCCCTCACAATCACCAAATGGGGGTGGTACTATTACTATCTCAATTTTACACATGTAGGGGAACCATGCTGGAAAGATTTTTGTCCCATCCCAAAGCCTTCCCTCTTTCCAGCCCTGCTCCGTCCCTCTGGCAAACATTACCAGAAGATCTCAGGTGTCTCCCCAACAAGAAACCCTGCGAGATACAAAGCGACAAAGGCACTCTGGATTAAAACAATGCAAGAAAGGTTTGAAAAAGAGAGTATTGAGTAATCAACCTGGTCCTTGAAAGAAGAAGAGAAGACATTAGTCTAGAGCAGAGACCACACATAGATGCCAAATAACAGTCTTTCTGACACCTCTTGGTCAGTTGTGCCAACATCACCCCAAGCAGACACTCAAGAGGCTGGTGGTGTCCTGGCTCTATGGTCAAGCTTTGACCTAAGAACCAGGTCAGGTTCAATTCTAGTCAGGGCACAGTTCCAAATTCCATCCCCAGTAGGGGGCATGCAGTAGACAGCCAATCAATGTTTCCCTCTCCTCAGTGATGCTTCTCCCTCTCCCTCTGCCTTTCCCTCTAAAATCATTAAAAATATCTAGAATAATAAAAGCATAATATGCTAATTAGACCAGATGTCCTTCTGGACAACCTCTGGACAAAGCTGGGGCTGCAAGAGAAGCCTGGGTCCCAGGTGCCAGAGGGAAGCCGGTGCCAGCAGCAGGGGAAGGAAGGCCCATTCTTGCATGAATTTTGTGCATCGGACCTCCAGTATGTAAAATAAAATAAAATAAAATAAAATAAAATAAAATAAAATAAAATAAAATAAAATAAAATAAAATAAAATAAAATAAAATAAAATAAAATAAAATAAAATAAAATAAAATAAAATAAAATAAACATATGTTCAATGATACATATTCTGCCTTCCCCAGGTACAAGTACAAGAGATGCCCATTTGAAGAAGCGCCAGGCTCCTCCATTTACTACCGTGTTTCCCCGAAAATAAGACATCCTCCAAAAATAAGACCTAGCGCATGGGAAGATAAGACATCCCCTGAAAATAAGACCTAGCGCAACTTTGGGAGAAAAAATAATATAAGACACTGTCTTATTTTCGGGGAAACAGGGTAGCTGTGTGATTGATTCTGGGCAGCCCAGTTAACCTTCCTGTATATAAAGTAGGGATATTAAGGGTGACTGTTTGGCCTGAACAGGTTTGGCTCAGTGCATAGCCTGCTGACCAAAGGGTTCTGGTTTTGATTCTGGTCAAAGGAGCGTACCATGGTTGTAGGCTCATCCCCAGTCCAGGCCCTGGTCTGGGCACATGCAGGAGGCAACCAATCAATGTTTTTCTCTCACATTGATGTTTCTCTGTCTTTCCCTCTCTCTAAAAGATCAGTGGGAAAATGTCCTTGGGTGAGAATTAACAACGACAAAGAGAGTGACTATCTGGCCCAGCTGTGGTGGCTCAGTGGTTGAGCGTGAACCTATGAATCAGAAGAGCACGGTTCGATCCCATGATCAGGGCATATGCTCGTTGTAGGCTCAATCCCCGATCTTGCAGGAGGCTGCCTATCAATGATTCTCTTTCATCGTTGATGTTTCTATCTCTCTCTATCTCTTTCTGAAATCAATACTTTTTTTTTAAAGAGTGACTATCTTCCCTAATTGGTTTGACTCAGTGGATAGAGCATCAGCCTGCGAACTTAAGGATCCCAGGTTCGATTCCGGTCAAGGGCAGGTACCTTGATGTGGGCACATACTCAGTGGGGAGTGTGCAGGAGGCAGCTGATCGATGTTTCGCTTTCATCGATGTTTCTAACTCTATCCCTCTCCCTCTCTGTAAAAAAAAAAAAAAAAAAAAAAAAAAAACCCATAAAATACATTTATTTTTAAAAAGAGTGACTCTCTTAAAGGGTTATTTTGGTGTGAAACAAGTGAACAAAAAAATGCACAGGATGTGCTTAGCACAAGTGCCTGGGAGCTGAGGCTGGGCTGGTCCATTCCTGGCCAGAGTCCAGTATGTCAGTGTGGCAATGCAAGATTTCAGATATGGCCTGACCAAGCCAACACAATAGGCCCATTATTTCCCCTAGTCTGGACTCGACACATTGCTAATGCAGCCTAAGGCTGCTGGGCTTCGGAGTCTTTCTCTCCCATGATTAGTTCCCATCAGGTTGTGGTCAACTAAATCATTCAGATTCTTTTCACTGGAGCTGGGGGTCAAGTGAGGTCTCTTTCCCTGCCTCTGCTTTGTGCAATGTCTTGGAGCTACAGAAGGACAATGTCATCTTGCTTATTCCAACTTGTCAAAATTTTGTAGGTTTTTGTTGTTGTTAATTTTTGTTTATATGGTTGTTTTTTGTTTGTTTGTTTTTTAGATAAAACCCCATTTTTCTTGAGTTTATTGAGGTGACATTGTTTAATACAATTACATAGTTATCAGGTTTACAATTCTATAATACATCATCTGCATATTGTATTGTGTTTTCACTAAAATTGTTGTGAATGTCGGTTCTATTGCCCACTGTTTTCTCTCCCTCTCTAAGTTTATTTATTTTTTTTTTTAATATATTTTTATTGATTTTTTTACAGAGAGAAAGGGAGAGGGATAGAGAGTCAGAAACATCAATGAGAGAGAGAGACATTGATCAGCTGCCTCCTGCACACCTCCCACTGGGGATGTGCCCACAATCAAGGTACATGCCCTGGACCAGAATCGAACCTGGGACCTTTCAGTCCACAGGCCGATGCTCTATCCATTGAGCCAAACCGGTTTTGGCTAAGTTTAGTTTTCAAAACATGTGTGTGTTTTGTTTTGTTTTTGCCAAAACTGGTTTGGCTCAATGGATAGAGCGTCGGTTTGGGGACTGAAAGGTTCCAGGTTCGATTCCGGTCAAGGACATGTACTTGGTTGTGGGCATATCCCCAGTAGGGGGTGTGCAAGAGGCAGCTGATCAATGACTTTCATTGATGTTTCTGACTCTCTATCTCTCTCCCTTCCTCTCTGTACAAAGTCAATAAAATATATATTTTTAAAAAACACACAAAAAAACATGTTTTTATTGATTTTAGAGAGAGAAGAAAAGAGAGGGGGAGAGAGAAACATCAATTGGCTGCCTCCTGCATGCTCCCTACTGAGGATGGAGCCCGAAACCCAGGCAGGTGCCCTGATGAGGTTTCCAACCAGTGACCTCTTGTTGCATGGGACAACACTCAACCAACTGAGCCACACCAGCCAGGGCTCTCTCTCTCTAAGTTTAGATCTAGGCTGTTCCTTGGGACTTCAGCTCCACCATGCATACTGTTTTTCTGGAGAGAGCCCCATAACACATCTCTGCAGACACTCATTTACCATTAATGGCTAATCCAACAGTTCCCGATTATTGAACACCCACTGTGTGCTGAGCAAGCACTAGGAAAGCACCTGTTATTTACACCATCTCATTTACTTCTCACAACCCCCTGAAGAGGGTAGTTGCTGTGACCCCTATTTAAAATGATGAACCTGAAACTAAGAGAGGGGAAGCAGGAACTAATTTTATAATCCCGGAATCAGGCATCTTTTTCTGTCAATGAATTTGTCACCTAAAGATGTTGTCCTCCAGACGAATACAGTCCTGACCACGTGTCTCCATTGGGCCTCTTGCCACTCTCCCCTCCTTCCTTCACACCCACCACCAGGCCTGGGGCTTTGGTGAGGCTCCAGTCCACAACGGACCGAAGGTAACCTTTCCAACCCTATTAACCTCAGGAGCCTGGAGCAGAGACCTGGGCCATTCTTCATAGCAATGTTCTAACTAGGACAGCAGTGAGGACAAGGGCTTCTCCCTGAGGAGCAGACCAACAGCTCCCTGCTCTGTAGTGGGAACACCCTCTAACTCTTTCTGGATCTAGCCCAGCCTCAGGACCTAAGGAAATGAACGTCAGTGCTCTCCTGATTGCTCTCCACCTATCCATGCCCTCACAGGTCACCATGCCCAGCCTGAAGGGCTTAGTCAATGCCCCAGAACACTCCCTTGAAGGCCTTTTGGGAGTTCCTCAGGTCCCCTGAGCTTCTTGGTAAACAGAGCAGCAGAGTTAAGTGCAAAGATCCCAGAAGACAGATTACCGGGCTTCATAGCCGGTCTCTAGCATTATAGTTTACTCTTGGGCAAATTAATTCATCTTTTTGATCCTCACTTTCCCACCTGCCAAATGGGGGTAATAATTGTACCT